TTTTTTTAACAAAACGAGTTCCCACAATAGTGACGAACACACAAATACAAATCAATTTATGTCACAAAACACACAAAGTTTTCAATGTTGTTTTTTTTCATATTTTTTTCGTTTGTTCCCTTTATTTTAATAGTTTTTCATTACAAATTATTAATAAAATAAAAGAACAATGCACAAATTCGCAAAATTGTTTTTCAAAGGGGAACACGGCCGTTTGACGACTAACGAATGGTTGCATTAGACTGGCTACATGGTACTCGCGAGTACTTCAGTTGGTAATCATATGACAACAAATACGACTCTGTGCGAAGGAGTTTGACAAAGTTTTGTCCTTTTCATAAAATTGTTTTAAATTCAACGTAACAAAATGTTTAAGTGCTTTCATTGTAGCGGTGTCGAAAATAATTTAAAGTAAAAACTCTGAAAGAATAGTGAGAAGTTGTTATTGGTGATGGTGACGTTGATCCCTGGCGAACTCAGCAAAAACAACATTCATTCTAAAAAGTTGCGGCTTTTCAAGGTAAGTTATGAAGTAATCTTTTAGTCAGTAGAATTGCAAAATTGTTTTATTGTTTTACGGACTTAATAATAAATGCATTGTTGTCTTCCAATGCATCAATTGAGGCGGGCTCGACTGCATAGACGTGAGCTTTAATATAACTCCGCGGCTTAACTCTAGTTTAATAAAAACTCTTCAATTTTTTCGAAAATTTTTTCAGTGGTAGGTATTTTAACCATGATCCCGGGGAACTATTTTTTTCTTGGGGGACGGACCTGGGACCCCAGATTTTTGACCCGAAAGTCCGGGTTTGAGACCCCGACTAGACCCGGATCCACTTACCCGATATAGACAATGTGGGTATCGTTGGAAAGCTTATGGAAATACCTATCCAACAAGTGGTCACATGATGGGGTAAGATGTTACGGTTCGGAAGTTATAGTCAAATTATCGATTTTTTGGACCCGGATTTTTTATAAAACCCCCAAAAAGTCAAAAAAGGGTCCATTATGGGGGACAACAAAATTGATGCCAAATTATAGCTGACACTTCTACCTTTCCAAAAAGGTTCAATTTGTGCTAATACCTTTACTGAGTCCAGAGATATGGGTCTTTCCATCCGCATAACCCGATTCTAACCAGTTCATTAAAACTATGTTTTCAATAAAAAAAGGTATATTTTGCGTAAGAATGAAATTCAGAAATCTTTGGTTCGCGTTAGCCGGTGTGGGACATACCCAGAGGAGAAAATCTCAAGCCCCGGCCGAAGGCCGGCTATTTACAAAAAGTGTCAAATTTAGAAAACTTTGGTTCGCGTTAGCCGGTGTGGGACATACCCAGAGCAGAAAATCTCAAGCCCCGGCCGAAGGCCGGCTATATACAAAAAGTGTCAAATTTAGAAAACTTTGGTTCGCGTTAGCCGGTTTAGGACATACCCAGAGGAGAAAATCTCAAGCCCCGGCCGAAGGCCGGCTACTTTCAAAAGGTATCCAATTTAGAAAACTTTGGTTCGCGTTAGCCGGTGTAGGACATACCCAGAGGAGAAAATCTCAAGCCCCGGCCGAAGGCCGGCTACTTACAAAAGGTATCCAATTTAGAAAACTTTGGTTCGCGTTAGCCGGTGTAGGACATACCTAGAGGAGAAAATCTCAAGCCCCGGCCGAAGGCCGCCTACTTACAAAAGGTATCCAATTTAGAAAACTTTGGTTCGCGTTAGCCGGTGTGGGACATACCCAGAGGAGAAAATCTCAAGCCCCGGCCGAAGGCCGGCTGTATACAAAAAGTGTCAAATTTAGAAAACTTTGGTTCGCGTTAGCCGGTTTAGGACATACCCAGAGGAGAAAATCTCAAGCCCCGGCCGAAGGCCGGCTACTTACAAAAGGTATCCAATTTAGAAAGCTTTGGTTCGCGTTAGCCGGTGTCGGACATACCCATAGGTGAAAACCTCAAGCCCCGGCCGAAGGCCTTTTATTTACAAAAAGTGCCAAATTTAGAAAACTTTTGTTATTCCGACGACTGCTACGCGAAATAAACACTTTTTTTATTAAAAACATCATTTTAATGAACTGGTTAGAATCGGGTTATGCGGATGGAAAGACCCATATCTCTGGAACCGAAAAAGGTGTTTGCACAAATTGTAGCATTTTGGAAAGGTAAGAGTGTCAGCTATAATTTGGAAACAATTTTGTTGACCCCCATAATGGGCCCTTTTTTGACTTTTTGGGGGTTTCATAAAAAATCCGGGTCCAAAAAATGGATAATTTGACTATAACTTCCGAACCATGACAACTTACCCCTTCATGTGACCACTTGTTGGATAGGTATTTCCATAAGCTTTCAATCGATACCCATATTGTCTATATCGGGTGAGTGGATCCGGGTCCAGGCGGGGTCTTGATCCCGGACTTTCGGGTCAAAAATCTGGGGCCCCGGGTCCGTCCCCCAAGAAAAAAATAGTTTCCCGGGATCAGGGTAAAAATACCTACCTCTGGAAAAAATTTCGAAAAAATCTAAGAGTTTTTACTAAACTAGAGTTGTTCCAACTCCGCAAAAAATAGTTTAAGACGTTAAGGCGACCAATTGACCGGCCCGAAAGTAAAATAAAATTTTAATGGAACTGACCACAATCTAAGTCCATTGTTACCCCTGCTGAATTGCATGTGTGGAAAAAAAAAGTTGCATATAATTTCACTGTAGCACTCACTATTCACAGTTACCTTATGATTTGCAGCATCTTTGAAGAAGCGCGGTCTAATGTTGCAACCAAGCCAAAATATAAATCTTTTCCACAAATAGGTATTTGTACCCTGATTGCGGGAAAGTATATTATCTTGTACTCGGGTACCAGGAAAGTTGCAGTATTCAAAGTCCGGGTTCGACCCGGCTCTACAAAATCGACATAGACAATATAGGTATCATTTGTAATATCTATCCAACAAGTGGTCAGTATTTGAAACGATTCAGGAGTTTTTATTTTTTAAACCGGATTCTTTTATAACCTCCAAAAAGTCGAAACAGAGCCAATTATGGGGGTCCGTAAATAATATTGCAAAATATAGATTGCACTTTAACCTTTCTAAAGCGCAAAAATATATGCCACTCTTACTCGGATCAAGATTCTGTTCAGTTCTTTGAAATTATGTTTTGAATCCACAAACCAAACACAATGACCTTCGGGCGAGGCTTAGGATTTTCTTCTCCGTCCGTCTGTGGAAATCGCTCCAGCTTCCGAACGAAATGAAGTAGATTGATAAAATTTTACTCAAGTGTGTATTATGTCTGCAGGAATTTTAGTATTGAAAATGGGTGATGTAGGTCCACGTTTTGGTATTATACCCATATAATGGTACCTCCCATTTTTCAGTATTATATTATTCACCGGAAATGTTTCAAATTTCGTGTTTGAAGTTCGTAATAAATACTACAGCCTATGACAGAAAATTGTCTGTGCAGGTCCACGTCTTTGTATAGAGCCTAATATAACGGCTACATTCGGTATTTTTAAGATTTTAACAGAATTTTTAACGGATTTTTTTTTTAATAGGGCGGACACCAACAATATCGTGTCTTTGCTAATTATATCCCCATTTGGGAATTGGGAAAACCCAAAATATTTTATTGAGAATCTCCCCATTCTAAAGTTGGACTGTTTGATGTGGTTTATTGTTTATTTATTGTTATTTATTTAGAGATGTTTAATGCCAATATCGTGTCTTTGCTAATTATATCACCATTTGGGGCTCGGAAATCCAAGAATTGGTATTGAGAATCTCTCATCCTAAAGTTTGACCCATGGTTTATTGTCGCATGGGGTTATTGGACATGCATGTTTCGAATATGGGATCACCAGTTCACATTTAAGAAGACAGCGTTAAGTGCCAATGAAGTCAAGAAACCATTACTTTTTAATCAGGCTATCTCTCGAAATGGCGATCAAAATTGTCCATATATGTCTTTGGATTTAAGACCTTGTGACTTCTTGGGATCCCCTAAAATATAGGTCAGCAGTAACCCAACGTGAATTTAAGTCCTCAGAGATGAAGATCATGGGGAAGTCAATTTGCGATTTGATTTCGTGAAATGGATTTGCTTCTTTAAGCATTTTCGTGGCAGTCTTTTGGCAGACATATTCTTATTAACGCCTTACCTAAAGATGTTATACACTATAAGGATGTATTTCATTTTTTCAAATTTAGTTCAAATGGGTTTAGATTTAAAGGCTCTATATAACAAATAATCAAAGGAATTGATAATCTAAGTAAAATCACGTTTTACAGGAAAACATTTTCGGAGTAAATAAGTCTTGAACCGTCCCCATAATATTTAATTCATTTTACCTAAACTCTCCATACGTATTACATCTCACCTCTGCCCCCTGACGTCTGTACATGTGGTAACAGTTTAACATAAAATCCAAAACCATGCAGCTATGTTAATATTATGCTGCTGTTATGTTAAACGACCCATAACATAGCAACATAAACATGCTTGTTTTATTCCATCCCATTAAACAATGTTGTGAAATTATTATTGGTAGAATTTTTGTATTTTGGTAATGATAGACATTCTTGTGGTCGGTAAATGAATTTCATTATTGTGGTTTTGTTTTTCCTTTCTTTTTTTACTCATTAATATATAAACAAATCGTCCAAATAAAATAATAATTGATACTGCATAAACAAACTTCGGAAGTATAATATGGTTGATAATAGTAATAATAAAAAGGTATGAATAAGATTGTTACAATCAAATTCAATATTGGATAGTTGTAGAAAACTATGTTTTAAAGTGGTAATCGTATTGTGATAATCTAATATTATTATTTGTTTTGATAGAGAGAAGAAGCTCTACGTTCCGTGAATCGCTTATCGGGTCGATTTCTAACCCCAGACAGAAATAATAAAATAAAATTGTCGAGCCGATTCTGTGTGGAAGGAGGACAGGAAGGGGTATGGGTGGGTGTTTTATACAGCAAAAAATCTTGGTTTTCGTTGTTTATTACATATATTTTTGCTTTTAATAAAGACTTTCGGCATTTGAGGAACGAGGTTTCTTGAGTTTTTCCATATTCTTAATGACAATGTCATGCAGCGAGGAGTAGCGATTTCTAACTTCACAAACCACCAGCCATAAGCTCAGATATTCCTTTTCGTCCAGTTCCACAACGGCACGTCTGTAATCATCAATGTGGGGATATTTAGCAACCTTTGACACCACCTTAGCTCTTGACAAAAAGTAGCGGGAAATTTGATCAAAGAATGCGGCAGCCTCAGATTCAACAGTTTGGATTTCAGCCAAGGTATCCTCTTGTATGGAAACACCAAAATTGTTGCCATCTTCGATTTTGGGAATCATAAATGAAATCCACATTTTCAAGAGATTGGCTGTAAGGAAAAATAAGGCAAAATTTTATTACAAACACTTATTCCAATAAAAAATCCAGTTACAACTTACAATCCTCCACCAATTTGCGTATGATGGGCTTGACAACTTTAATCATTTCACAGAGTGGTGTATTACAGGGCACTGAACCCGTGGGCAAGTACATAACCTTGGTGCCGACAACAGCTGGTGGTTCGGTACGGGCTCTCTTGGCGGCCGGCTGATCGGCATCACCACCAGCAGCCGCCTCCACAGCTGTATCATCTGAGCCATTATTACTGTTCACCAAAATGGGATCGGGAACTGGAATGTTCAAGTCTTGATGGACCTCAGTGAAATTGCGCTCACTGAACATGGGTGTGCTGAGCAAGTCATTGAGTTCAACGATTTTCTCGGGGAAACCTTCGATAATTAGTTTTTCGGCTTTCTTGATTAGTGAGTCTTTATAGTCCTGGACCTGCTGCAAAAAGTACAAAAAGACGAAACAAAAATTTTGCAAATTAGTCAAATACAACAAAAACAAATGCTACAAGTAATGGCGAGACAAATTATGATTCTAACTACAGGAACTGTGCAACATTTACTTTGGCAATGGTATCGCTCGGCATTTTGTCTGTTTGCGGCGGCGTTCTTTCTGTTCTGTTCGACTTCCTTCCTGTTGTTTTCTCCAAAAATTGCTGGCGGCGGCTTCTGTTGCTGTGAGCTGTCTATATTCCGTTGTTTTTCTAACTGCGAAACGTTGCTAATTCTGTTTCAGATGACTTCGTTGCGTTTCTTGGTATTTTTGCAGCAGCTGTATCAGTTGTTGCTTGTCTTGTTTTGCCTCCTTTTGCTTGTTTTCGAGCTTTATTTGTTATTCTAACAAATAGTCTGCCTGTTAGTTAAATTACTTAGTTTCTATTTTCTTTTTATTTTAGAAATGATTCTTAAATAATTCAGCTTTTCCTTCCTTCTCTCTGCCAAATAAAAATCGGCGTGCTTTAGAATGCCGTTCAGTTTGACAGTTCGTAAACGGAGTTGCCAATCGTTTGCAAATTGCGCCGTCAGTGATGGCCGTCTGTACTTAATATAGTACGCAAGGAAAATAATGTCAGCACGTTGTTGTTAATAAAACTAGTTCTATACAGAAGTAATTTAATCAAATATCCATTTTTAGAGGCGAGGTTGAAACAAAAGATAATTTCGTCAAATTATTGGTGTACTGTTAAATACATACATAATGTTGTATGTGAAGTTGAAATTAGGATGCCGCATTGACACAGCTTCTATGACAATTAACTATCAAATATTTTTTTTTTTAAATTTTCCTTTGACAATGTTTCATTGTCAAAATCCATAGTTTATACAAAAAATCGAAAATGGGAACTGTTTTCTATGCAGTGAAATTTAACAAGGTAAATTACAGAAAATGCAGAGCTGGGCATGATTATTTGAAATGAGTTTGCCTTTAGGGTACATCCCGATATTCGGTATTTTTATGATTTTTGCCACATTTTTCCACGTGTTTGTCCAATAAATGGTATTTGTTGTTTGTAATGGGTTCCAGCTTCGGTGACAGAACATTGGATATATAGGTCCACGTTTTCGTATAGCCCCCATATAAGGGTACCTTCCAATATTCGGTATTTTGATAGTTTCACTCATATTTTTTCACGGATTTGTCTAAAAATTTGTATTTGTAGTGCGTTAGCAATACATTAAATATCTAGGTCCACGTTTTCCTATAGTGAGTATATAAAGGTACCTTCGGATGTTCGGTATAATTTGGTATTTAAGATTCGCATTAGATTACCTGCTTTGTGGTATAAAATTGTCTATATAGGCTACCGTTTTGGTATGAGGGCTACCGTTTTGGTGTGAAAATGGGAACTTGTTTTTCAATCAGTGAAATTTGACAAGGTAAACTACAGAAAGCGCGGAGATGGATAGTCTTATTTGAAATGATTTTACCTTCTTAATTTTACCATGTTCTATTTCTTTAATTAACTTAACCATTAAGTATTTTTCGTTTTTTTTTCCAGTACGTATTTCCAAAACCATCTTTAAATCTCACCACCACGCACTATGAGTGGCCAACACTTCAAAATACCGCTCTATCCGTTCGCCTAAACCAAAATTGTAACCAATTAAGTATTGTTTGGCACAGTTCCTACACTATAAAACCTATATCAACACTACCTCCCAAACTTTGTGCTCATAGCAAATTTTCAAGATTTTACCTCTATTTAGATTATTGTCAATTGTACGTTTCAGTACTCTTGTTACACTTTGCTTTGAATTTCCAAAAACACTTGGTTTCGTCTATCATAATCTATGACCCTTATTCCAAATATTAATTTCAGACTTACAACTCGATTCCTACCCAAATACAAAATTTTGAATAAGTTTGTACTTTTTAGTACGTTTTTCCAAAACCACCTCTAACAACTTTCACTTACCTGTGTGCAGGGTAAGCCATGTGTGAACAGTGGCATTGATCAGCATTGCCATTCATTGGATTTGTTTAGCAAAGGCAAAAACCTTACGCCTTATTTCTCAACGGCAAAAGAAATGTATGGAGATTGTCAAACTGTAATTATCAAACTTTAGCACACAGTATATAAAAGAAAATTCTGTAGACAAAAGCAAAAGCAGATGTGTAATTATTAACTTGAAAAATATATTTTGAAATATCAACTGAAATATGTGAATGTTTGAATTGTTGACTTTTTGAAGAACTGTGAACGTATTGAACATTTTCCGAAGCCCATTTGCTATGTTTCGAGGACTATCGGAGAAAAATCAATTCTAAATAGTCAATTTAATAAGAATTTTTTATGTTTAAAATATTTTTTTAATCTAATATTTGGTAAGAAATATTTATTCAGGAAATTGTCTCTATCTTAGATTTTTATAAAACAAGTTAAAAAGTATTAGTCAGCCCATGTTCGAGGACTTGTTTCGCAAGTTATGACATATATAAGTATTGGAAACTGTGACCCTTTGTGGATGTGGTACCAGAAGGGGTTCACAGATATATATTATCCTTACAACAGATCTTGTGTTAGCGTAGATATTTGTATGTGGGAAATTTGAGGAGGAGATGGATGGATGGATTTGGATGCTTATTTCGCTTTCTTTGAGCGTTTTGTTTTTCAAAATTTCGAACCGTATGTGGGAGAGGAGGTACTAGAAGAAATGGTGCCATTCCTACCATCTTTATAAAAGATCTTGTGTTGATGGACATTTTGAGATGTATCAAGTCGGAATGGAATCGGACTTTATTTTCGCGTTTAATAAACTCAATATGTTCAATACTCAATACTCAAAAAGTTGACCCTGTGTGGGGGAGGTACAGGAAGGAGTGGACCGATATATGCCATTTTCACAGCAGATCTTGGTTTGTAGAAATAATGGGATATGTGAAATATGAAAAGAACAGAATGCTTATTTTTTACGGATTTTATAATCGCATTGGTTATTTAAAACTTTGACCCTTTGTGGGGGGAGGTACCAGAAGAAATTACCCGATCTCTAACTTCTTTATAACAGATCTTGTGTTGATAGAAGTATTGAGATGTGCCAAATCAGAATGGAATCAGATGTTAATTTCTCGTTTTATGAGCTTCATGGCTATTCAAAATGTTTACCCTTTGTGGGGAAGGTACCAAAAGGAGTGGATCGATGCATGAAATATATGGAATATATTTACACCAGACCTTGGGTTAATAAAAATAGTGGTATGAGTGTAATTTGAAGACAACCGGACTCTTACATCACATTTTATAAAAGTTATATTTATTCGAAATGTTGACCCTTCGTGGGGGAGGTACTTGATGGAGTTGACCGATATTTTTATTTTTCGCACCTGACCTGGCACTGATGCTAATATTAGGATTTGCAAAGCTGGAGCCAAATGGGGTTATCCTCTATTTTTTTTGGGGGGGGGGGGTGGCTGTACCAGACGGGGTGGATCGGATACTCCCTTCGAGAGTTATCGTGCGCACCAGCCAGACAACAAACGTATGGAGGGACGGACTCTATTCGATGTCGACTCCAAATGTCCTGAAAGAGACCTAGACCTAACCGTTATTTCGATGAGGCATGTTTTGGCCGTGATGTAGCCATAGCTGAAAGTATAAAAATTGTAAAATTGTAAAAATTGATTGCACGGACTTACCTTCTTATTTCTATCATGCAAAAAAAAAAACTTAAGTAGGAAAAGTTTCTTCAATTTTCCCCAAAATCTTTTCTCTAATCGGAGAGCATTCTACAAAAGATTTTCAGAAATAAAATCGCAAAATTTTCAAAATTTCCTTCTCTAGGTTTTAATTAAATACATTTGTGTTATTTTTCAAAACTTTTCAATAGATATTTTACAGTTTGAGCCAGATTTTATTTTGAACCTTGTATATTTTCATTTTTTCCAATTTTTAAACATATTTCGCGCACTTTATAACTCAAGCATATTCCCACAGATATCTACAAATTAGCTTCCCAACCAGAATACTCATTAACACATTATAAGCTATGCATCGTCTTTTGACGTCTTCTTCTTTTTTTCTTCTTCTTCCCAAAAATGTCTTCTTACCACCCAAAGTTCAGCACATAAAAAAAAACTTGACGATAATGTTCTTCCCTCTTATCCTTCCGAAAATTATTGCAATTCATTCAATGGCACAATTCATGCATGCTGCAGCAGCGTCGATGCAGATGCTTGCACACAAAAGACTGAAGTCCATAACATCTTAAGAAGGGGAGAGGTTGTTGCGGTTACATACAACAAATGAGCTGCAGTGGTTAAAATAGTTCGTTTCGGTTAGGGCGGGAGACGATGGAAGTTGAAAAACGGAAATACAATCACAGTTTTATGTTGGGGAAAAGCAATAAACACAAATTATATTACGATACAGTCGCGGCGGGAAATATGTTAACAACATTTATTTTTTGAAGGCATTTTAAGGACAATATTTATTCGCGTAATTTTTATAGATTTTCTGAGTATTTTTTTAGAAGGAAGTGGTGGTGAGCTCCATGCCGGATTTAAAAAATATTTTCAAGGACTATCACAGCAGTCTTCTTTCGAAGATATTTTCCAAATTGGAAAAAAAAAAATTTCCGTGGGTTTAATATAAGAAGGTGGTTTTGGAAATTTGTACTAAGTGTGCGAAGTGTACTAAATTTAGAACATTTTGGTTTAGGGTGAACGGAACATGCTGGAATTTTATTTTGTATTGGGGTGCGTGTTGTTGGTTGGTTTGAGAAAAAGAAGTGGTTTTGGCAATGTGTACTACAACTGAACTAAAAATACTAAATAGTACTATATTTGGTACAATTTGGTATTAGGTGAAGGGATAGTGCTTGAAATTTGGGATTAGACTCGCTGTTCATGTATAGCCTGGTTTCACAAATGTGTACCATAATTGTACGAAAAGTATTGAATGGTACCGTAATTGGCATTATGTGAAGGGATAGAGATACAATTTTTAAATTTGAAATTTACATTGCTGTTGATATCTGACGTTAAAATTTTACGGTGGTTTGAAAAATTTTCCCATATTTGTACGAAAAGTACTAAATGGTACAATATTTAGTATTGGGTGAAGGAATAGACTGGAATTCTCAAATTTGATATTGGGGTCTCTCTTGGTATCTGAAATTCAGATATGGAGGTGGTTTTGGAGAGGTTTTGGTATCTGAATTTAAGATATGGAGGTGATTTTGGAAATGTGTACTATAATTGTACGTATAATTTAAATACAATCGGGCGGGCCGAGTATATGATATCCTACACCACTATACGTATTTAGTAGAATTCCCGTAACAAAAACGTTTATATTGGGAATTTATGTGAAGCCGATCATACCTACTCTGACTTCGATAAGGATTATAGGGTGAAATAAAAAAACTGCAACAAAGTTAAAATCAAACACAATAAGTTTTACATTCCAATCGTCATCAGTTCCCTTGTTTTTTGTCTGGGATATTCTCCCCAGATGTTATTTAAAAAAAAATTATATGACAAAAAACTTT